TATAAATATTGTTTCTTATTTTAGTTTAATAAGGGAAAAATATATAGAACAACAACAAAAAAAAAAAATACTTCGAAATTCTATTTGAAGTTTGATTGATTGATCACTTACTAAACGTAAACTGTTCTGACGGGCTGAAAAAAATGCTTGAGCATATTTTGGCAACTTTGGTTTTTACCCAATAGAGAAATAGGTATAATAAACTAAAAACCATTGTATTATATTAGTGTGCATATGTTTGCTGAACATCTCAATGAATCTCAATGAAATATTGTGGCGAATAGCTTAGTTTATTTTCGTTTTTGTGCGTTAAGTTACTACCGGACCAAATAATTGGAGGAAGATTTCTTTAGCCGTCCCGTCTAAACGGGTAAACGCCACCTCTGATAGCTTTGATTAAAGAAATATACAGTTGCGAAAAAAATTTTACCACCACTACGCCATAGATTCTTTATTCTAAAACAAGATAAAAGGAAATATTAGATACCCGATACTCAGCACAAGGGATTGCGAGATAAAACTAAACATTTTCGCTGCTGATATTTGTACCCAAAAAAATTGTCGTATGCAGATAGTTTATAGTTTTCACTAGTGTTGCCTTTAATAAAGTTTTGTTCTTGGCAAGCATTTGTAAGTTGGTTTATTCAATCAAAACGTTTGTCAAAATACAGGGGATTAGAAACCGTCAAAAATGACGTCTGTGACACCGAGATAGGCTTTTCGGGAGAAATTGGGTTGGAAGGGATTTCTGTGACACCCCCGAATATCACACTTTGAGGTTGAATTTATTGTCAACTTTCGAGTGTTGTCGAATTCATGAAATGGGGCTTATGTCAACACGAATCAGTCCATTTCATGAAATGAAAGCGCGAAATGACCATCGCATAAATAGAGTAATAGATAACTAAAACGCCTAGGAGTTCTTAAAAAATGAATTTTACATTACTAAAAGACACAGTTAGTGGTAATGATTTTAATTCTTATTATATTTTTTATTTATTTATGAATGTCTTACAACTATAAGTATAACAGTATTTGAGCTATTTATGGAGGGCGTAAGAGTATATCAGTTATAAGTATGAGTAATATGCAGGTATGTTATATTTTTGACTGTGCCAAGGGATTCGTCCTCATCCGAATAATTTGTGCTGTCTTTCTTTGGTCACCGGTATGCCCTGGCTATTTTTGGCCTTGGAAAAGCGCTGGTTGGAATCGAAGTTGATTCCCGTGTTCGTAGCTACCAGGGTGTTCGGTCCATTGCCGTGTCCAGGTGCTGCAGTGTTTCCCTGACCGAACTGGTGGTTTGTGTTGCCAGATATTTTTCCCGGCAGAATATGTTTCATTGGGTTATTAGTGCGGCAGGAACCATTTCCTGGGTTCATACTAACAGGCATGATATGTTTTACCGGGTTAGCTCTAACCATGTTGTTTACGCTGTTGTCCGGAATGGAGACGTGGCCGGGTTCATGGTAAGCTATGTACATCCAGTGCTATACCTGGGAGCAACGCTATTTTCCTAACCGTAAGGGCTTGTATTTGTATTTATATTGTTGCCCTGGTTATAGTTTCCATAGGTGTTATAACTTCCTTTATTGCAGTTGCCCATGTAGCCCGGGTTTGCGTACATAAGGGTGTTTCCCGTTGCGGTTGTACTACCCTGTTTAAAGATGAGTTGGCCTTCCGGGTTGCCCTGACCCACGTTATTCGCGTTGCTGGTCGGAATGGAACCGTTGCCTGGGTTTTCAAGGATCTTAGTACCGGATTGTCGGGTAATGTGTTCAGATCCGATGGTGATGCCGTGTGTGAAAACACCTGATTTGATTCCCCGGTTGATGTTTGCATACTGGTTTTTCCCTTCCGATTGCCGCGGCCAATATTATTCGTGTTGCCCTGTGCATAAACGCCCGAATTTTTGTTTTGTACGTACACGACAGTATTGGGTGATTTATATGTGCTGGATCTAGAATTGGCTCCAGGATCTCTTAAAATGTTGTTCAAAAGCCAAGGAAAGAGCCTAGTAGAAACACGACAGAACACATTTTACAAATCACTTCTGGACGATAGAAAGGTTATACAACACATTTTACAGAAACAAAAAGGGTCGGGATCGCGAAAATGTAACTTCTGAGACACTTCTGTGTGATGGAAAGACGATAATACACATTTTACAAAATCATAAACGGTCGGGAAAGCTAACAATCTTCTGATGCATTTCTGGGCGCTAAAACGACGATAGAAAAATTTGTACAAAAACAAAGTTATTGTGAAAAAAACTGTCTTTCAAATGACTTCTAGAAGTGGAAAAAATGATAGAAAGGAAGACAAACAAGAGAAAACGCTATAGTCGATGGCCTTGACTATTAGATACCCCTTACTCAGCTAAAGGGAGTGCGAGAGGGATGGAGATATGCTTAAAGCAAAACTGCTTTTTTCACTAACACACCTAGCCTTTAGCGCCACCTATCTTCTTTTTCTATAGAGCCACATAGCGCATGTAGTCCCAACACTCCAGCTCCTGTAGTTTTCGAGATCTCAGCGTTCGGTCCGTATGAACGCGTTTCCGTCCCCATAAAGTATATATATTCTTTATCAGGATCACTAACCGAGTCGATCTAGCCATGTCCGCCTGTCTGTCCGTCCGGATGAACGCAGAGATCTCGGAAACTATAAGAGCTAGGCTATTGGGATTTGTCATGCAGATTCCTGAGCTTCTTACGCAGCGCTAGTTTGTTTCAGCAGCGTGCCACGCCCACTCTAACGCGTTAAAGTGGGCGTGGCAAACTTTTTTTAGGTCAATCGATAGGTATTGATGAGAACAATACATTTCAGTTAAAATTTTTATTCCAGCATCAAAACTGTAGGAGCCACAGTTTTGGGCGGCTTGTGGGCGTTAGAGTGGGCGTGGCACTATGCTGAAACAAACTTGCGCTGCGTAAGAAGCTCAGGAATCTGCACGCCAAATCTCAATAGCTCTTATAGTTTCCGAAATCTCAGCGTTCATACGGACAGACGGACAGACGGACATGGCTAGATCGACTCGGCTAGTGATCCCGATCAAGAATATATACACTTTATGGGGTCCGAAACGCTTCCATCTGCCTGTTACATACTTTCCGACTAATCTTTTACTCTAAGAGTAACGGGTATAATTATTGTTTGGTTATAACTTTTTAATGAACGGACAGACGGACATGGCTAGATCGAATCGGTTAGTGATCCTGATCAAGAATATATATACTTTATAGGGTCGAAAATGCTTCCGACGATCTAATATACTCTTTTCCTCTACGAGTATCGTGTATGAAAAGTCTGCAGTAATGTACATAATTAAGATAGAAATCAAACAAATATTATCAAATAATATTGACTTAACACATCATATGAATTTTTAATGGATACTTCAGAGATTAACGCACAGTCAGACTTGAATTTTTGACAGGAACTATATTATGAATCGAGCCATGTGTTGCGGTCATACCAGTGATGGTTACAAATTACACGTCGGTAAATTTTAGACGATTATGTTCAATAATGTGTGAAATACTACGAGAATCAAGTAAAGTAGAGTAAAATTTAGACCTAGAAAAATGTTGAATGTCAAAACATTCTTACAGATTAACATGAGGACTGAAAAAGGGGCCTAGGAATGTACGCTCTAATAAATCTTAAGCTGGTTTTTAGTATTCTTAAGCAACTATTTTGACCAAAACTGTATTTGCGTGTGCGTCCGCCACTTGATCTGTTCCATCACTCTATGGGAGCACCGTACACTGACAACTTCCTCGCAAATTGTTCGTCTGTGTGTGACAGTGACAAGCCCATAAAAGTAAATACGACATGATATTTACCCCCAGTGTCAGTGCCCCAACTCCGGGTTGTCTGCCATTGTTTGTCGAAAAGGACCCTCATATGTGGGGCTCTGGCCAAGGAGCATGTAAAAGGTTAACACCCCCAAACCAGAGGGCCGAACATCCAACACCCAACACATTTAAGCGCAATTTGTACTAATTAATACTGAATTCGACTCCCGGCAGGGCAGCAATTGAGTTTCTGTAGTGGTGTTCCCATTAAGAGGTTCAGCCCATTTGAATGGAAGCCGTCAATTGATGTCAAGGTGAATGGGTCAGTCGAGTGATAGGCACTTACCACACAAAGCGAAATAAATCCGAATTAGATCGACACAGAGCAAAAACACCAACAGTTTAATGGCGGCTTCAAAAATTTTGTTGGCTTTACATTTGTTTTATTTTTTTTAGGATTTTTTTATGGATTTTAAAAATGTTTAATAAAATGTATTAAAATCATTTATTTAATGAGTGATAGAGATAAGTCTTCGACCCTATAAAGTATTAATATTCTTGATCAGGATCACTAGCCGAGTCGATCAGGCCATGTCGATCTAGTTCTAGACCTATCTTAGCTAGAGAGTTGGAATTTCATATTTAGAGCCTTAGCTTCTGATTAGTTTATTATCTGAATGAGCCCACAACGTTAAGCTTGGATAGCGTCCACAGTTGTAAAGACTTTGAAATAGTGTATTTGACATTTTGTTTCGCTTATCAATACCAATCTACACGTCAAAAATTATTCAATTATTCCATAGGGTTCAAATTTGACATTAAGATTCTAATAGTGCCTACTAAGCCCATGTTCCTTATCCGAGTGCCACGCATACTCTGTGGCGTTCTCCCTTGCTATGACTAAAAAAGAGAAATATTTTATCTGTCTTTAAAATATTAACCAATCAAGATAAGAATGGTCAGCATTCATTTGCCCTTAGTGTCGTTTTTCTTGGAACTTTCTAGTCAGAGACCCATTACTTTTACTCTAGGAGTAAAGGGTATACAAATGAACAACACAATCATATAGCTTTTACAAATAAATAAATGGATCCTTAAAGTCGCATACTTATTGTTGTGTCAAGGGCTATTTAAAATATTAATATTAAGATTTAAATTCGGTTTCATTAATCATCCACAAAACTTACATATGTGTTTCAGGTTATTGGCCACTTGGCTTTACTTGGTGCAACACATACATATGTGACCTGTGATGTGCTGGCCTGTTCCTCCAGCATCCTGCATATGTGCTTCATAAGTTTGGGACGCTATCTGGGAATACGGAATCCATTGGGCTCGAGACATCGGTCTACGAAACGATTGGCTGGTATTAAGATAGCCATTGTTTGGGTAATGGCCATGATTGTATCCAGCTCGATAACAGTCCTGGGTATAATAAAAAAAGTTTGTAAAATGAAAGTTGTTTTTACATCACTATCTCGTGTACTCAGGTCTGGTCCACGAGAAGAACATTATGCCTGAGCACAACGTCTGTGTAATAAACAACCGCGCCTTCTTCGTTTTTGGATCTCTGGTGGCATTTTATATCCCCATGCTCATGATGGTCACTACTTACGCACTCACCATTCCCCTCCTCCGCAAGAAAGCACGTTTTGCCGCAGAGCATCCGGAAAGTGAACTCTTCCGCAGGTAAGAGTATGTAATATTGGGTTGCCCAAAAAGTAATTGCGGATTTTTTAAAAAAAAGTAAATGCATTTTTAATCAAACTTAGAATGAACTTTAATCAAATATATAATTTCCATTTTGTTCCATAACCTTTATAAGGTATAGTATACTATACAAATACATTTGCCTCTTATTTATTCAAAACTCTTTATGGTGTGGATAAACCCAGAAAAAAATAGTACTTAAAAATTTGTAATAAATGTAAATTGTATATTGTAGTTTTAGGTAATGGCTTACCCTACTTTTAAGGTTAATAGTAGACAAAATTTAAATTCCAATGAGTGCTTTAAAATAAGTCCATATGTCCAAAAAAAACAAGGAAGAACGCTATAGTCTAGTACCTCGACTATCAGATACCCGTTACTCAGCTAAATAGAGATATGCAAGCAGCAAAGCGAGATTAAAATGTGCCACCTACCGGCGGTATACAGAATTAAGCGTTATGGGCGTTTGAGTGGGCGTGGCAAATTTTTTTTTTGGATCAATCGATAGGTATTGACGAGACCAATACATTTCAGTTAAAATTTTTTATCTAGCATGAAAATTGTTGGCGTCACAGGTTTTCGCGGTTTGTGGGCATTAAAATGGGCGTGGCAAACATTTTTTTGGGTCAATCGATAGGTATTGATGAGAACAATACATTTCAATTAAAATTTTTATTCAAGCATCAAAACTGTAAGAGCCACAGTTTTGGGCGGTTTGTGGGCGTTAGAGTGGGCGTGGCAGGAATCTCAGAAATCTGCATGCATAATTCCAGTATTGTAGCTTGTATAGTTTCCAAAATCTCAGCGTCCATACGGACAGACGGACAGACGGACATGGCTAGATCGACTCGGCTAGTGATCCTGATCAAGAATATATATACTTTATGAGGTCGAAAACGCTTCCTTCCGCCTGTTACATACTTTCCGACGAATCTAGTATACCCTTTTATTCTACGAGTAACGGGTATAAAAATTTGTAATAGACTAAAATTGTACTTTTAGGTAATGGCTTACCCTACTTTTAAGGTTAATAGTAGACAAAATTTTAATTCCAATGAGTGCTATAAAATAAGTCCATATGTCCTATAAAACCAGAAACTTTAGAATTATAAAAGTAGAGTTTGCTCTTGCCCCCAGACACAGTCTTTGGTCTTGCCGGGAAACCTGCATTTGGTTTTGTAGACCGGGGATCGATTCTCACCGCGGACAAAATAAAAAAAAGGAAGAACGCTATAGTCAAGTACCTCGACTGTCAGATACCCGTTACTCAGCTAATGGGACCAAAGGGAAATGGAGATATGCAAGCAGCTAAGCGAGATTTAAATTCGCCACCTACCTGCGGTAGACAGATTTAAGCGTTATGGGCGTATAGGTATAGGTATTGACAAGACCAATACATTTCAGCTAAAATTTTGTATCTATCATGAAAATTGTGGGCGCCACAGGCTTGGGCGGCTTGTGGGCGTTAGAGTGGGCGTGGCACATTGCTGAAACAAACTTGCGATGCGTTACATACTTTCCGACGAATCTAGTATACCCTTTTACTCTACGAGTAACGGGTATAATGATTGTTTTTCAGAAAGATAAAATATTCACTTAGCCAAATTCACTATAATAAACAATTAAAATAAATAAGTTGTAATACTATGAGTAAGTTAACATTTTTTAATGTTTAGGTCATAAACTACCTTATTTTTAGGACATATATTGGACGTTTCATAACAACCCGGCCACCCCCGTTTTTTTTTAAGGTGCACAGCACCGTTTGAGATTAAAGCAATATCAACGTAAAGGAAGTTTACACTAGAACTATTATGTCTGGCAAACGAAAGACACGATTTACAAAAATCAAAAGCAGTTGTACATATTTACTCCTACATGGCCGGTTACGAAGAAAAAAGTGGATTTATGTCTATTTATTATGTCTAAAAGAATGATTTCAGTTCGATTTGTTTTATTTTCTAAAAGTATATACGATTCCTTGACGTATTTTTATACCCCTGCAGAGGATATATTGATTTCAGTCAGAAGTTTGCAACGCAGTGAAGGAGACGTTACCGACCCCATAAAATATATATATTCTTGATCAGCATCACTAGACGAGTCGATCTAGCCATGTCCCTCTGTCCGTCCGATTCTACGCCAACTAGTCTCTCAATTTTAAAGCTATCGGGCTGAAACTTTCCCAAAAGTCTTAATTCTTGTGCAGGTAATATACGAGTATATCTTATAGCTCCCATAAGAATAATCGGGAAAAAATTATTTAAAAAACAAGGAAGAACGCTATAGTCGAGTACCTCGACTATCAGATACCCGTTACTCAAAGGGAAATGGAGATATGCAAGCAGCAAAGCGAAATTAAAATGCGCCACCTACCGGCGGTAGACAGATTTAAGCGTTATGGGCGTTAGAGTGGGCGTGGCAAAATTATTTTTGGATCACTCGATAGGTATTGACGACACCAATACATTTCAGTTAAAATTTTTTATCTAGCATGCAAATTGTGGGCGTCACAGGTTTTCGCGGTTTGTGGGCGTTTAAGTGGGCGTGGCAAACTTTTTTTTATGTCAATCGATAGGTATTGATGAGAACAATACATTTCAGTTAAAATTTTCTGTCTAGCATCAAAACTGTAGGAGTTACAGTTTTGGGCGGTTTGTGGGCGTTAGAGTGGGCGTGGCAGTCTACTGAAACAAACTTGCGCTGCGTAAGAAGCTCAGGAATCTGTACGCCAAATCTCAATAGCCTAGCTCTCATAGTTTCCGAGATCTCAGCGTTCATCCGGACGGACAGACAGACGGACAGACGGACAGACGGTCAGACGGACAGACGGACAGACGGACAGACGGACATGGCTAGATCGACTCGGCTAGTGATCCTGATCAAGAATATATATACTTTATGGGGTCGGAAACGCTTCCTTCTGCCTGTTACATACTTTCCGACGAATCTAGTATACCCTTTTACTCTACGAGTAACGGGTATAACAAGGAAGAACGCTATAGTCGAGTACCTCGACTATCAGATACCCGTTACTCAGCTAAAGGGACCAAAGGGAAATGGAGATATGCAAGCAGCAAATCGAGATTTAAATACGCCACCTACCGGCGGTAGACAGATTTAAGCGTTATGGGCGTTAGAGTGGGCGTGGAAAATTTTTTTTTTGGATAAATCGATAGGTATTGACGAGATTAATACATTTCAGTTAAAATTTTGTATCTAGCATGAAAACTGTGGCCGTCACAGGTTTGGGCGGTTTGTGGGCGTTAGAGTGGGCAGGGCAATTTTTTTTCGGGTCACTCGATAGGTATTGATGAGAAGAATACACTTATGTTAAAATTTTTATTCTAGCATCAAAACTGTACGAGCCACAGTTTTGGGCGGTTTGTGGGCGTAAGAGTGGGCGTGGCACATTGCTGAAACAAACTTGCGCTGCGTAAGAAGCTCAGGAATCTGCACGCCAAATCTCAATGGCCTAGCTCCCATAGTTTCCGAGATCTCAGCGTTCATCCGGACGGACAGACAGACGGACAGACGGACAGACGGACATGGCTAGATCGACTCGGCTAGTGATCCTGATCAAGAATATATATACTTTATGGGGTCGGAAACGCTTCCTTCTACCTGTTACATACTTTCCGACGAATCTAGTATACCCTTTTACTCTACGAGTAACGGGTATAATAATATCTTTGGTGTTTTTCATCATATAACCTCCTAAGCTTGGAAATAACATTTTTTAATTAGTTTTGAATTTCAAATTAAATTTTATGAAAATCGGAAAACTATATCATATATTTGCCATAGGAACAATCGGAAAATTGGTGGGAAAATAATATGAAACAAATTATTGCTTTGGTGTTTTTTAACATATAACCTCCTACGCTTGGAAATAACATTTTTTAACTAGTTCTAAATTTCGAATTTAATTTGATCAAAATCGAAAGACTATATCATATAGCTGTCATAGGAACGATCGGAAAAATGGTGGGAAAATTGTATGAAACAAATTATAGCTTCGGTGTTTTTTGACATTTTATCTTATACTATTGGGAATATCATTTTTTGTATTTTTAATTTTAATAACTATAACTGCAAGGGTATACAAACTTCGGCTTGCCGAAGTTAACTTCCTTTCTTGTTTACAGTAAGCAAGAACAGAACCCTGTGATGGATAGATTTTAATCAAGATTTGAAACGGTTAAATGTTTTTACTCAAGTAGTAGAAAGCGACCCAGAAAAATTATGAATAAAATCATACTTGTCCTAAAAAATAAATAAAAAAGGACTAAAAGTTAACTTTTAGGTCGTGCATTACCCAAAAATTAAAATTTTGTATTTTTGCCCTACTTTTAGGGTCACGAATGGTCTAATATTTAGGGTCATTGTGTGCCTTATTTTTTGTATTTTACTCAAAAATATTTGACAGCTACTAACCTATTTAACTAAATATGTATGTAAAATGTTGATGTTGGACATAACCAAATAATATAACAATTGCTTACAATTACTATTTTAAGAAAATTATGTTTTAATATTACAAAATAAGCTGTAGAGGTTGACGAAAACCGATTGAAAAAATAATAAGGTGATAATTCATATAAGGTGATATTTTATCTTCCAAAAAAAGTAACATTTTAATTTTGCCCGCGGTGGGAATCGATCCCCGGTCTTCCGCGCGAGAATCTGATGCGGACTAAATACGTCTGATATCTTTTTTAATTCAATATTATATTTCAAATTATTAAGGAAATATTTAATATGTTTCTTAAAAACTCTCCTCGTATCAGAGGCAAGCGCCTTACAAATTCCGCACTATGTAACGCAGGAGCGTGTAAGTTCATGCCAATTTCTAACTTCCTCAAGATTTAAATGCAATATTTTACAACTTCATTATATTCAAAATGCACATGTTCTGTGCGACGATAGCATGACCTTTTCAGCTCACTTTATAACATTAAAACATTTAAGGTATTCAATTGCGTTGCAAAAGTGTAAACTTTGTAAGTTTGCCAGACGAGAATTGTGAACGCCCTCTATTTTAAAATATCGTTGCAGGAAATTGACGTACAAAATAACGCCAACTTTTAAATTTTTGTGAAAAGAAGGCTATGATATTTTCTGTCATTAAAACCCAACTTTTCAGTATATTTTTAGTATTTTAGATAAAATTCCTACCCATTATTAACCCCCTATTTCTACACAAGTACAACAGATTTGTATACATAGGCTGGGGTATTGTAGGCCTTGAAAACTATTTTGTATGGAAATTGTTGTTGGAACTGCTTACACTTTTACACTTTTCAAACGATTGCAACGCAATTGAATACCATAATTGATTTTCTTAAAACAGTGCATTAAATAATTATAAGCAATGCAATTATTGTTTGACTACACCCAGAAAAAAATCCGTTCGAAACGTTCAAAAATCAAGACCAAACGTTGTCAAAAAGTGCGTGAGCCCGTTTGTTGACAGTTCATGAACGGTCGTTCGTAAAATGTGACCGAAACTTTAGGGTCGGGTTCCGAACGAATGGTGTCAGTTTAAGAACATTTCGGGCTTAACCTGAGAACATAAAAATCTAAAATAAACGAGGTTTGTGTACACGCTAGACTTTCTGGACGCCTGGTAGAGATTTATTTAATTTCCCACCTTTCTTTGTTATTGCTAGAATTCAATGTATTTTGGATATTTTGCTGAAGACAAAGAATTTATTTATTAATAGAAGTACATATAAACATTAGAAATAATATTTTAATAAAACTTACAATTCACAACCGTCTTCTCGAGGACTCAAACCTGTGCTACCATGTGTCGAAGGCGGACGGTCTAGCAGCTGGACCACCGAGCGAATTTTTCGAGCGCGGAAAATCGGGAGGTAGACCTACATACATGTTTTTATGAACGGTGTTGATATTATCGATTTCGATAGACTTTAACGCGTCTATCGCAGCTTTTTCAAGGACCGGCGTTCGATATCTGAGAACATTTTTCGCAATTTGGAACCAAGTTGTTCGTCGGTAGAAATTGTTACCAACACCGTTCGATTTTTGTAAACAAACGTTCGAAATGTGAGAACTAAAAATGGAGAACGGATTGTTCGCATTTCATGAAAAATGTTCATGATTTTTTTCGTTCTTTTTTTTCTGGGTGTAGGTTCAACATTAATATCTAACAGACATATATAGTTTAAAAGGTTTTTAGTTGTCAAATATTTCTAGGTAAGATGCCATTTAAGGCTATTAGGGTATTCCTAATCTCAAAAGAAGGCAAAATAGTGCAAAAATTGTGTTTTTAGGTAGTACATGACCTAAAAATTAACTTTCGTCTATTTTTAATTTTTTAGGTTAGGAATGACCTAAAATTTTGTTTATCTTTTTCTGGGTGTACAATGTACCATGAACAATGTACATTGTACATACATATTTTATTAATTTACCTATCTTTTTATATTACATGAGAAAAAGTCGATAATAAAAGCTTATTGGAATGACCTTGGATAGAAAACTAATTAACAATTATTAATAAAGATTTTTCTCTTTTTCACCTTTAAAAAGTCATTCTTTGGTTGGCCGGCTTACAGACATTACAGACATTTCCGGTACTGATTGGTTGCCTAAGGTCAATAGAAGCCCGACTAAGCGTGGCAAATTATCCGTAACATAATCAACCGCCAGTTTGTCCAGCCATCACGTTTTCTCTACCACGTCTCTGCACTGTGAAATGTCAGCTTAAGTCGTCGAGTGCCTTGCCACCTAGCGTGTATTCCTTTAGTTACTTATAAATTGTCCAAATCGAACAATTGTTGGAGTGTCGAGGGGTACTGATAATAAGAACTAAATCCCATCTAACTTTCCTATAGTTCTTATGAAAGCAACATGATATGGTCAGATTTTTATAAAATGAAATGAATATTATCAGGGGAAAGATCCGTTACTCGTTGAATACAAAGTAGGGACTTTGAATAAAAGTTATGAAAAAAACAAAATGAAGCCGTGAAAAAATTTTAAATAGGTGAAATGTTTGAGAAAATTAAAAAAAAAAGTGTATAAATTAAGCCGAATGTATCCATTGTCTGTCACTAAAATGAAAAATCAACGACCGTTATTGATTCATGCTAATTATTTTTTGGGTAAGACATTCCCAATACGGACAGGAAAATCGGGTTTCTCAAAACGGTTGGTTATGGTTATCTTATGAAAAAATTCTAAGTGTATCCGTTAGTCCTTTCTTATATACATATACATATTTTTCAGGCTAGGTGGACGCTTTACCATAAGACCTCAGCACAGCCAGCAACAGTTGCAGGTGCACAGCAGCTTCTCCAGAGGCAATAGCAAGTTTCTGTCAATGAGCGACAGCATTCGCAACTTTAACAATGGAGGACGAGGGGTTGAGGAAGGAGATGCTGCCAGGAAAAGTTGCGTGGAGCCCGCCGAACGACCTTTGATGCAGCAGAGAACGACGAGTAGCAGGAGCATCGGCACGGCCAGTTTCCGCAATGTGGCCAATGGCAGCGGAGGAGCTGGAGGAAGTGGGTCTAAGGGAGCAGGCCCTGCCCGCAGCAGCTTCCGGTTCTCCGGAGGCGGCATCCTGCGGCACTCATCGTCACCCGCCTCGAGCTGCCACTCCACCAACAAGTCGCATTTGAGCAGCTTCTGGAGCAAACACGGAGGCAATCCCAACCTAATGGACAGGTGAGTGGGATAACACTTGCTAACAAGTTAAAATCCATGAAAGGCTCCTAAGCCTGTGATGGTAAATTCTGATTGTGCTGAAAATGTCAGTAACATTTTTCTCGATGGCCCTTTTTTTGTTCCAAGTTTTAGATGTTAAATTTCGAAATTCAGTCAGAAGTTTGCAACGTTTTCGACATAAAATACATATGTACAAGTATATGTTGTTCTTGATCAGCATGACTAGACGAGTCGATCTAGCCAAGTCAGTCTGTCCGTCCGTTTCAACGCGAGCTAGTCTCTCAGTTTTAATGGGATAAAACCTTTCCAAAAGTCTTTTTCCTGTTGCAGGTGTATATATAGATATAGTTCCTATGCGAGCTTTAGCACTTATTTGGCTGATTCGGCTTGTTCCGAATTATATATGTACTACCTGTAATAGAAAACCGACTTTTGGGGAGGTTCCATCGCCACACCTTTAAAACTGAGAGACTTGTTCGCATAGAAACTGACAGACGGACGGACAGACGGACGAGCAGACAGAAATGGCTAGATCGACTCGCCTAGACTTAGAGAAAATCAAGTATTTTTAGTGTCAAAATATGGGCAAGCATGGAAAAAATTTTAAGACAGAAGGAATTCGGTTTTAGTAAGTAATTTTTGAGAACTTTTCGGTCTCAATTAAGCAAAATTTTTAATCTAGTCATATTTGTATTAAAAAGTAGTAAGATTAAGTAATTAAGTATTATACATGCATACATGTGTTGTACATTTAGATTGGGTTTTAATTCTATGCTAGTAAGAGAAGTAAGTATTTGAAACTGAAAATGAAAGAAACGAACAAACATAATATATCTAAATTACATACATATTATAAGTATACTTACGAATTACCGCTCACAGGCATTAGCACGGTATATTTTATGCGCCTTATATACCGAGCATATACCTTCACCGAATCGAAGGAGAAAAACGGGGAAAACATTTCCTCTCTTGATCAACCTGGTCTCCTGATAGAGACAAGTAGCCGCCCAACTTCAAGTAAGTACCTATATTCATTGCTAATAAACTTTTAGACGATGGTCATTTTTAATGATTTCACTTGGTTTTTAGACAAGGTCGCGCAGATACCGCAGGAGATGGCAGGTGACAACAAAGAGGCGTTGGACAGACTGGAGATGCAGAACCAGAAGTTCCTTGGGGCTCAAAGGGAAATTGATGCCTCCTTGTGCAGAGCGTGCGTGATGTTCTGTCGGAGGTTCGGGCCGCGACCCAAAGTTTCATGCGTTATTTTTTTAAATACATAACTTCAATAAGAGTTTTGTACCACATAAAATTTTTATTTATTTAAAACTGATTCTCAGTGGAAATCTATCTATGGCTTGGTTACAATGCCAGTGTCGTGGAAGGATTAACGTATCGCTCAATCCTATAGCAATTTAAATGTAGCGCTCATTATTTCAGTATTTTTTTATCGATGTTGTAACCTTCTAGAGGGATTATGTTGTAAACTAATTGCGGTCACATGAAATGGTGAATTGTAAGCCCAAATCTCCCGCTTTGATTTATTCTGATTGGAGGATTCAAAGAGACTGGGAGGCAAGACTGCGGTACGTAAATTAATTGTTAAGATAAGGTTAAATCTAAAGCATGTATTTTTTCGACTAGAATAAAACACACACCACACAGTTTACGCTCTAGTTCTACGCTACAAGATAGTTTGATCCTTGTTTCGGTTCTAAGCTTCTTTAAAGTCAACTCCCAGAGGATCTCTACCGGTCGGCATCAGGCAGTCTGATGGTTGCTGGTTACTTTCAAATTCCTTGCTTGGCGTAAACTTGTCCTTTCTTATTCCCAAAAAGCTATAAAGTGCGGCGCAAGCGAAAGCAACAACCGAACAAATTTGTGGCCAATGTCTATTCTTTTGGCCAGGCATCTCCTGCGTCCTTTCAGTCGCCCACTACTATTCTTCCCGACCTAAGGTAGCAGTTTAAGGACTCTATCTCCGGAGTAAGATGTCCAGTGAATGGGTTTAGAAGTCGCGGTAGTTATGGGTATGCACGATCTCCCAGGATAAGAAAGGAAATCTCTTTGCTTTGTTTTTGGAAATCCGGAATAATTCGGGTGCGATCTTAAAAAATTGCAGATTCCTTAAAGACCGTGGCGTCGTGGACACTTCTTGGAAAGATCGTGATTACGTCTCTGATTTTACAAATATATTGTTTTAAAAATGTATAAATATATTGTACTAAAAACCAATACCAAAATATTTACTTAAGAGTCATTGTTGTCAACCACAGCTTGTATGACCTTCGATGTCCATCTTTTTCGATTAACAAATCCATAAAGCCAATCTTTGGGGCTTTAACAGGATTGTGTGTTCCTAAATAATTGGTATATCACTTTTAATATAATTTTTAGATATACTTGAATGCTTTTTGCCGTCAATAGTTTTTTAAAGCCTGGAATTTTGGTACGAAATTAATGTACTAGCGATTTTTAGTATTGCTTTAACAACAATGTGAAAGTATTTATGGACAGTACTTTTTTGTACTCCAACTACATCCCCAATGACGCGATATTTGGTACAGATTGCAAATTTGTATATGCAGATTGTCACCTGCTTTTCCAAAGGCATCGGAATTTTTATGAATGCGGTTTGTTTCGTAGTATGTCGCATATTTCAAAAAATGAAGCTTTGGACATTCATACTTTTTTTAAAAATCAAATCAAATAAACTATATTAAATTTATGATTTCGGTCCGCAACAGTAAATATTTATTTACCTGCACGTAAATTTTCTGCTGTAGCGTGCCGAATACATAAATTTAATATAGTTTATTTATTTTATCGAATCTGACCATAATTGCAGATTTCCAATTCTGCGGTTGTTGTCTTCGCACGCTCTCTTGCGCGCCTCGCCACTACGTGTACTGCCGTCCACAGTGATATATATTTGCCAACTCTCCTAAATGGAGTGATTCTTTTTTCTCAAGTAAATCTTTTAAGTCTTTGAAAAGTTTTAAAATTTGAAATTCGGATCTGATGTATAATCCACTGAGCAATGGCAAAACAAACCCGGTCTCGCTCGCTGCTAAAACGAAATTGATAAATAAAATGTACTTTTAATTTACTTACCAAATATATGTGTCGCCTAAACATGGGTTATTGTATTTCACGCTTTCACAAGTTCACGAAACTCATAGCATACACTAAGTAATAGTGTTTATTACTTCGATTTCATTTTGACTGTTCTATCGGATCAAATTTTTAATTTTGTGGCTTTATTTAGAAGTCTCCTCAAGCACACTCACTGTGCGATTCGTCACTGCGTGTACTGCCATGTTATCAATGTGATGCCACAGTGATATTCCCACAAAAGGTGTCAGATAGCCCAGTTCAACAATTTCGCCAAGTTGCAAGGGTAAATTAATTCCCGTCCTATTGCTGAGGGCAATCAATTATATATCTTTAAGCAATTAAATGCACATTAACAACAGTCTCACAACACGACGTATACGTAATCTGGCGCGTATGGCGGCTCGGACATAAATCACTCATACGTCATGTGGTGCAGCGGAACACAAAATAAACACGAAACCGTTTGTCGCACAACTTTAGCTGCTGCCACATTGTAGTTGCTGGAACCATAAATACTGAAACACGAAAAAAGAAACAAATTTCGCATTTAACATTGTTGCCAGCAGTCCAAACATGCAGGAGAAACCCCTAAAAGCATTCAAAATAAAAGGGAAGTGCAGTCAAAAGTGTGTAACGAACTGATTTTGTATGTCTGCTCGCTACGAGATTCGTGCGGCTAGCTCAGAAGATTGTGTGTTCGTCCCACCAAATTTATATGACGTGATTGCCCGTAGATCAGTGAGAAAACAAAGTGTTCTAATGGTAACAGTGGGATTTATTCTCGTGGTATTGGTACAGCGGGTGTGTGGCTATGCTGGTTTCTGTATCTCCTTGTTCTGGTTCCGCCGGCTGCTGGTGCTCCTCCTTCTGGCTTCTCGACGCGTTGACTCGTCCTCCTCTGGATCCTGGGTCTCGGGACGCTCGTCGTGGCCGCCTCTGCTTGCTTGCCGACGCGTTGCCTCGGGGTCGCTTGTCGCGCCTTAGACCCGCAGAGAATTCGGCCTTGTGGGCTTAGGGAAGCGTCACCGTTCTCAGACTAGGGTGAACAAGCCTTGCTCTCCAGGCTGACGCCTTTCGAGGCAATACTGTCCCTTGCTCTGTCCCGGACGGTCCCGCTAGGTTCTTGCTCAGTTCGCGCTGACAGTCAAGGCTGCCGCCCGGAGGCTGTCTAGCGGTTCACTTCGCTTTACGCCTAGCGCAGACGAACGTTCCACCCGGCTTCACCCTAATGCGTGACGTCCGCGACGCTCCTGCGCTCCCCAATGAGCTCCGCGCGGCGATGGTAACGTGGCTGCCGGAAATGTCTGCTGGCGTCGCTGTCGATGTCCTCTGCGCTGTCTTCTGGCCAGTATCTCGTTGTTCTGGCGCTCGGGGAGCTGTGCGGTCGCTGCTCGGGAACTTCGCCGGTAATCGCAGGGCTCTCCAGGCTGACGCCTTTCGAAACCACAAATCGATCTACCGCTCGTCCGTCACGCCAGGTCCTGCTTGGTCGGGCAAGGTACGCTGGGTCGCAGACGACTTTCCTCCCCAAGCTGACGGCTCTTCGTCGTAGGACTCTCTTGCTTGTCTCTGACAGACCCGCCGGGCGACTCGCCAGGGTGTGGTCGTGACAAAGTTAGAAAACAAACGCCTTGACTTAGCCGCGTGATGCCTCTCAGAACTCAGCCACCTGTGTCTCAATTCGGAGATTCCTGATGTCCTAATCCCGAACGTCTCGACGTGGCGATCTTGCTCCTTCTATGCTTCCCACGGCGCTGCTTCCGACGACTCGCTTGGTTGTAGCTCCCTCGTAGATTACTTGCTTGACTGATTGCCCACTTGGTACTTTGACTGATCTTGAAGGCTTGACTCCTCTTGATCGACTGATCCAGCTGCCAGCGCTCTGCGGCCTTATATAGGGCCTCCAAGCACCGTTATTTCCCTTTTGCGCACGGCCCGCTGGATCTCTCCACTCTGGGTCCAAAGTTCGTGCCTCCTGGATGA